ACCCCAGATATTCTGGTTAATCTCTGCCCTTCCATTGTAACACCTCAGCCAGCATTCTCAGCCAATTACCCAATCTTAACACTGACACTTCATTACAAGGTGACATTAGCCACCATCCCATAGGAGGTCACCATCTATTCGTAATTCTTGGCATAATATCACTGTTCTCACGAAACCAAACCTACACCAAATCACAATGATTCCCTTCCCTCCAGCTGAAGTGACAATTCTCCCACAAACACCAAATTTTAAACTTTATTTTGATGCAATGTTATTTTAACAGATGATAGAACAATAGATTCAAGTGCCAATAATGCTACCCTCCTGATTTCCCTGACCGATGACACAAACATGCAAATGAACACTCCTGCCTCACTCCACAATCAGTGTAATAAACAGAACTTCAGACTGGCTGCCAATTCATGTGGTAAAGTTGCAGCTTCCAATTTAACCAGAAATTAATAGTTTAATAAATGGTGAAACTGCAGTACATTGAAATTTACTGTTACTCAAGAGTCAGATGATTGGATGAAGTTCCCAAAGATTCTCTGTAACCTTTTCACTGAGATTCAAACATACAAAAAAAAGTTAAAAGCTTACACATTTACTTCAATGAAGTTTGACTTCATTAAAATATAGTTTTGTTGCCAGGTGAACACAATCCTTTATAACGCATGTTTCTAATGCCCCTCATTTTACATCATGCTCAGGTATATACTAAAGTTTCCATTTGTGTCATGCAATTCCTTATTTGGGCCTCACAACTCAAAGCTACACATGCACCACTAGATGGCGAAGGTGCACTCATCTGATTCAATCAAATACAAGCAAAATGCTGGAAATCTGAAGCGAATACAGAATGTTGGAGAAACTCAGGAGGTCTGACTGCATTTGTGGACAGAGAAATAGCGAATGTTTTCAGTCCAGTAAGACTCTACTGTATTTGGAATATTAACTCTCTCTCTCTCCCCATAGATGCTGCTGGACTTGCTGAGTTTCTCTCGCAGTCTGTTTCACCAACATCACTAATGTGCTGAGGGAGATTTGTTTATTCGTGAGCTATCCAATTAACCTTGTATCACTGCCCCACCAGCCACCCTTTCTTTTCCAGTCCTGCAACAATTTACTTTCTATGTACATGTTGGACAGTGGCTCCGTGGTTAGCTCTGACGCCTCACTGCGCCAGGGACTGGGTTTGATCCCAGCCTTGGGTGACTGTCTGCACATTCTCCCTGTGTCTGCGTAGGTTTCCTCCAGATGCTCTGGTTTCCTCCCACAGTCCAAAGATGTGCAGGTTAGGTAGATTGCCCATGCCAAATTGCCCATTGTGCCCAGGGATGTGTGGATTAGGCGGATTAGCCATGGGAAAATGCAGGGTTACAGAGATAGGGTAGGGGTCTGGGCAGGATGCTTTTCAGAGGGATGGTGTGGACTCGATGGGCTAAATGATCAGAATCCCTACAACGTGGAAGCAATGATTCTTTCGAAAGTTACAGCTCAATCTGCTTCCAAGGCTTTCTGGGCTGTTCCTTCCAGATTCAGTCATTTTCATCTCTCCTATAATTCCTTTGCCAAATATCTTAAATATTTCCTCTGGTTATCAACCCTCCTACCACCAGGACTAGTTCCCTCCTGATTTTATCTACGGAAGACAAATGTAGTAATTCTTCTGGGTCGATCTCTTCTCCATTTCCAAGGCCTTTTTTAATTCACATATGGGACATGGGCCACCATCTATTGCCGGTCCCTAGTTGCCCTTGAGGTGGTGGTGAGCTGCTTTCTTGAACTGCCGCGAGTTGACCCATAACGCCATATTAGGGAGGGAATTCCAGGATTTTGACCCAACAATAGCAAAGGAACAGTGGATATATTTCTAACGGAGGACGGTGAGTGGCTTGGAAGGGAACAAGCTGGTGGTAGTGCTCCCATATATCTGCTGCTCTTGTCCTCCTAGGTGGAAGTGGTTGTAGGTTTGGAAAGAACTGAGAGGATCCTTAGTGAATTTCTGCAGTGTATCTTGTAGATGGTACACACTGCTGCTACTGAATTAGATTGTGGAAGGAGTGAAGAACATAGAACATAGAACAGTACAGCACAGTACAGTACAGGCCCTTCGACCCACAATGTTGTGCCAAACTTTTACCCTAAGCCTAAGGTCTATCTAACCTCCAACCCTACCTTATACTATCATCCATATGCCTATCTAATAGCCGCTTAAATGCCCCTAACAAGGCCAACTCCACTACCCTCTCCGGCAATGCATTCCATGCCCCTACCACTCTCTGGGTAAAGAACCTACCTCTGACGTCTCCCCGATATCTACCTCCACTCACTTTAAAACTGTGCCCCCTTGTAATAGCTACCTCCACCCTAGGAAAAAGTCTCTGGCTGTCTACTGTATCTATACCTCTGATCATTTTGTACACCTCTATCAACTCACCTCTCATCCTTCGTTGTTCTAAAGAGAAAAGCCCTAGCGCTCTCAACCTTTCCTCGTAAGACCTTTCCTCCATTCCAGGCAACATCCTGGCAAATCTCCTCTGCACCTTTTCCAACACCTCCACATCTTTCCTGTAATAAGGTGACCAGAACTGGAGACAATACTCCACATGTGGCCGAACCAGGCTTTTGTATAGCTGGAGCATAACTTCATAGCTCTTGAACTCAATCCCTCTGTTAGGTTTGTGGATGTGGTGCCAAACAAGTGGGCTTCTTTGTCCTGGCTGGTGTCTAGCTTCTTGAATGTTGTTGGAGCTGTACTCATCCTGGCAAGATGAATATTCTGTCAGACTTCTGATTTGTGCCTTGTAGATGGTGAACAGCTTTGGGGAGTCAGGTGGGGAGTTACTTGCTGCAGTATTCCTATCCTGACATCCTTCCTTATGTAATAAAAACCAAAAGAACTGTGGATGCTGTAAATCAGGAACAAAAACAAAAGTTGCTGGAAAAGCTCAGCAGGTCTGGCAGCATCTGTGAAAGAAACGTTAACTCTGTTTTTTCCTTCACAGATGCTGCCAACCTGCTGAGCTTTACCAGCAACTTTGTTTTTTGATCCTTCCTTGTGTGCAAGAACCAGAAATAGACTCAAAACATCCAGGACAGCAAATGTAGGTCGTGGTGCTCTCACATGAGGTCCCCTCAAGCCACTTAACATCCCACCTTGGAAAATAAATTGCCATCATTTCAGTATTGCTGGGTCAAAATCCTCAGCATTGTGGGTCTACACTTACAGCAAATGAATTGCATTGGTTCAAGAAGGCAGCTCATCACCACCCTCTCAATGGTAACTCGAAATGGGCATTAAAATGTTGGCCCTGCCAGCAACACCCACATCCCACAAATGAATAAAAAAACTGAGTCATGACCAGTAATATTTAAACTTTAGCAATGTCACTGCTTTTGCATTTTATGGAGCTAATTCTTTTACAAACAGACTTACCAATTTGTCTAACATCTTTCACATTCAACCAGTGAATATCCTTATATCTATCATTCATCAGACTCCAAGTCATTCACCTTCAAACTCAGTCGTCTTATAAATGAAAACCAAAAGAACTGCAGATGCTGTAAGTCAGGAACAAAAACAGAAGTTGCTGGAAAAGCTCAGCTGGTCTGGCAGCATCTGTGAAGAAAAAGAGTTAACGTTTCAGGTCCAGTGACCCTTCCTCAGAACTGATGCTGAGCTTTTCCAGCAACTTCTGTTTTTGTTCAGGCATCTTATATGCCCATCATATTAAAATCAAGAGTAATTAGTGTCTACCCAGACTCCAAATGATTTCTTCACCAAGAATCAAAAACTTGCAATGAGACTTTGATTCACCAATCATCAAGAAGCTTTTGAAACCTAAACCTAGCATAGCCTAATGCACTGATTTACCTTATCCTCCCCATCGATTTTCTGCAGTGTTCTAAGCCAGAGGCACTTTAGTCTAGTCTTTTAATGTTATGCAAACAAAATTACTAGATTGTCCGAAGCTTAGGATTTACTTTGGAAAAAATTGTCAAAATTCTCATTTCATATTGCCTTATTTCAGATTTTAAAAATTGGATGGAGTTAAATCCATTCATTTGGCAAAACTAGGTAAAATGCTGGCCTAGTGAGGTAGCAAAGAAATGACTGACAAGGTTTGCACCATACAGGATGCTTCAATGCATACAACTTTCCAAAAGGAACCCAATCTGGAGAGACAGGCGATAACTTTGATTCAGATGTATCCTTTTCTTCCAGTTATTGTGGTAGATTGTTGTGACATAGGCTACATTAAGCGTAGCCTGTGTAATACAGCTATTGCAAGCAACAATGAATGCATCCCACCATGAGAGACGTATAGGTAAATATCCAGTAATCTTCCATGAATGTTAAAATGTTGAAGCTGTTTAACGTGAATTTAAAAAAAGGCATTTCTTTAAAAAGTTGTTTGAAGGTTTCTGTGGCTTGAATGGTAATGTTAAACAAGACGACTTTAAGGTTGCACTATGTTAAATTTCTATCACTCTGGTACAACAGGATGCACCTGGGAGGACGGGCAAGGTGGGTTGCTCGTGGAGATCTACCATACCATGCCATGGCAATGGTCTTCCCATCAGAGTGTGCTGGCTATCACTAGTACAGAAAGTAGTACCAAAGAAGAGATCATCCATTCAGCACTGACAATCAAGCAGCTGCAGGAATGCTAACATGTCCAAGATACTATTAACACAACATACTAGCCAATCAGCATGTAACATTCATCTGACCTTCCATCCTCTACACGTTTCAGTCATTCGCCCATATGGTCAGAGTACATGCTCGAAGCAGCAGTTTTTCCACATTAAACAACACTGACAACACATTTTATATAGTGTAACCATAAGACCTTCTTTTCCAATGTTCAAGCATTTCTCTTGCTTTCTTTCTCCTACTCTCTTCCATTTCCCATAGCTAACTGCAGGATTATCATGTCATAGTTCTATGGCTTAAAATAGAGGTGAGCTCAAATATTTTCAGCATTCAAATGAAATGAGATTAAAATATTTTTATTGCATTTTTGACCGATCACAGTAATATTTTCATTGTGTTGTAAATAGCATTGCCCAGGGTTATAGACCAAAAGGCATCACAACAAATTTATAGTCGAGAGACAAGCTAAGCCTTCCTCATCTTACTTTAACTTAAAAAAAATTAATATTTTGCATTACTTCAGGCAAACAAAATTTCATTACATCTATCCATATACTAAATCCCACTTTTTATTAGTTGGCAAATACCCTGTATGTAGGAATTACAACAAACGATGATAGAATAGGACATTAGAAATCCTCAGCAGTTTTTGCAAATTAATGGGGGAAATCATGAAATGCATTTTCCTGTGAACACTGACAAATGTTACCCAGTGAAAATTTTAAAGGCAGTCCATGTGAATATTTATGCATTAGTATCACCTACACAAATAATTATTGAAGGATGGTCTGCTTAAAAAGTAGATATTATAAAGCAGTTGTACTACTGCAGATTGTCAATAGCTACATTAATCAATTTTATGTTTCTAAACGAGTGAATGATAACAATTTCATAAATACATATAAAAATTTGTTTTGTTGCATTGCATTTTTAGATACCTCAAGTTTAAACCTTTAGCCTGCTGAAAACCCATTTAAATACACAATAGAAATCTACACACAGCAAGCTTATGACTTTCAATTAATGAAATGTTGTCTTCACTGGTTTCAACTTAAAAAGTATTAGAAACAAAAAAAAAAGCAGATGTCAGTCAACTTCGGGATTCCTGCAAGCTCCATGCTCAGAGCAAGAACGAGGTGTAAGCATCATCTTAAATACAACCCGTCTCGATTGATTTAAAATACCTTTGTACAGTGAGTCTACTAAAAACAATAGACTTAATACAGTATTTTTCTACCAGCAAGTATTAAAAACAAATCTGTTTGCTGCTAATGTTTATTTACAATGTACATACATGAAGAAAAACACTGATATATCTAAGCCTGTTTGTGTAAATAGTAGTGTAACAATATGCATTTTTCAGTTTGAAGTTTACAATCAACTACTTTCAACTGACATTCACGCTACATGAAGAATGAAATGTTGGCAAATGATTAGTCATTGCCTGTGTCAAGAAATACAATATACAATTTGAAAAATATGAATTGCTTTTAAGTTTTTTTTATGCCGAAGTGAAGCTGTTTGCAAAAAGGTCAGAGTTCAACATAAGTGAGGAAAGTAAAAGGAAGTCTCTGACCATCTGTAGAACTGGTAAAAAGGCATCATTTTTATTTAAAGGGAAAGTGGCAGTATGCCTCTTCAAGTGGAGCAGTTTCATCAGCATCTTCAGGGCTCACATTACAGAGCATGAAGATTTTGCTTGCTGACAGCCTCCATCCGCCCTTTCAGCCTCCATAATTATTCGCTTAAAGACTTCGACTGCAGTCTGAAAAGTAAAAACACATTTAAATGAAAAGAACTCTTTGCTAAGGCAGCATTAATTCTGTAGGGCATTCACCTTATGAAAATTAACATTGAATAATCTGAAAACAATCTGATCAGCTGCACCTTTTTAAAGTTTTATTCAGGTATTTCCTTTGAGCTCTTGTCCAAGATTACCAAGGAGCATTCAATACCAAGGAGCAATCAACCAGGAATTCTCAATTAATTAATTTGCACACTGAATTAATAAGCACATTAACAAATTTACCTGCTCTTTGAGACAGCAGATAATCAATTCGTCACTTCTGACCATCAACTGAGTTTATTAGCAGCCAACTAAACTCGGCACTGCCTCCAACATTAAATATTTATGTCAGACGTTATTGAATGATTACAGGTGCACACTCCTTAAAGTGAACAGGAGGAGAAAATAGTCAAGAATACTAATGAAATGCTGACCTTCATATCTACAGGGCTGGAGTTTAGGTATGCAGGCATTATGCTGCCATTATACAAAATCCCAGTTAGCTTAACATCTGTGGTGGGTAAATTGTTGAAATCTGTAATCAAGGATAGGATAACTGATCACCTTGAAAATTTTAGTTAATCAGGTACAGTCAGCATGGATTCATGGTAGGTAAGTCCTGTCTGACAAACCACAATTTTTTTTTTTGAAGAGGTGACAGACGGTGGACAGAGACTAGTCGATGGATATTGTTTAAATTGATTTCCAGAAGGCTTTTGATAAAGTGCCATACAAGAGATTGTTAGCTAAAATGGAAGCCCACAGAATTGAGGGAAAATTACTGACATGGATAGGAAATAGTTTAAGTAGCAGAGTTGGAATAATGCCAATTTGAGTACTTACCCATTATTCCAACCCTGTCACCTATCCTTGATTCCGGACTTCAACAATTTCCCCACGATGGATGTTAAGTTAACTGGTCTATAATTTTCTGGTTTCCCCATCATCCCTCTTAAAGAGCGGAGGGACGTGAACAAATTTCCAATCCAGAAGTACAGCTCCCGAATCCATTTAGTACATTGACATTGTGCTCTCCTATCTCCTTTCATAGCCATGCATAGGAACCATCAGGTCCTGGGGATTTGTCACTCTTCAGTTCCATTATTGAGGATTTACTTAAGCTAATTTTATTTAGACCCTGACCCTGGTTAATTTCTTTGGAACTTTTAGCAAACTATCCTCCTTTCCCCATAGTTATTGATGATATCCCCACTTTCAGCCTGCAGTGGACCAACAGTACTCTTAGTCAACTGCTTTTCCCTTATGTAACGATAAAATCTCCTTACTTATGTCCCTGGCAAGTTTCCTTTCATAATCCTTTTTAGCCGCTCTTAAAAATGCACCCTAACGGATTTCAGGTGTTGTAATTAATAATGAAGGAACTTGTTTACAGTTAGGTACAATTGCTCCCTGTTAAGTAGCATTTAGTGTCTGTAACATATAGTTTTATCTTTCTTTAAGAACAGTAAGAGGCTTAAAATGTGAAATATTGCTCCACAATTTTGTCAGCTACAGGGAAAACAGATCTGTGTTTTCAAGAATTAACCGTCTCTAGAGGGATCATGACACCATCACAGGGAGTGGCAGAGGTGAATAGCACTAGAAGAAGGTAGATAAAAGTTCCCACAAGGGAGAAATTAATGTGTGGATATGTTGATAAGGAGAGATGATGGAGGGTGAGAGGTTAGGGTAGAGGCAGTGTGTGTCTGCGCTGTAACTTCTACATACTGTTAATTCAGCATTTGAAATCACCAGCTGGCTTTTTTAAACACTGATCTTTTTTGCAATCTGAATTTCAGCAGACTTCTTAAAGATGAAAAACAGAGGAACTATAACTTGAGTTTAAGCGCATCTCTACTCATTCAAGTAAACTTTGAGTTTTTTGATAATTAAGTATTATAATACTATTCAAACTACAAAATTATGCCTTTTCAGATTGCCCGAGAAATTAATTTGGCCTTAAATATGCTGAGTACAACTTCACCCTTAGGACTTCTAATACGAAAGCAATGCTAGTCATTAGGCCAAGAAGTGATCTTAATACACAAGATTGTTTGTGCACGCCACCTCTGCTTGTTTAAGCTTAGTCCATACAGCAGCAATGATACTGCACAGTTATAATGATCTGGCCCTGATCCATAATAATTCGAAGAACAGTTAGAGTCATAGGGTCCTACAGCATGGAGGCAGGCTCTTTGGCCCAAACTGGTCCATGCTGACCAAAATGTCCATCCACGCCAATCCCATTTCCCTGCACTTGGCCCATATCCTTCTAAACCTCTCCTTTCCACGTATTTCTCCAAATGCCTTTTACATGTTGTTAATGTACCCGCCTCAACCACTTCCTGGCACCTCATTCCATATACATGCCACCCTCTGTGTAAAAAAGTTGGCCCTCAGGTTCCTCTGCATTCTTTCCCCTCTAGTCCTCGATTCCCCAACCCTGGGAAAAACATTGAGTGCATTCACCCTATTCGTGCCACTCATAATCTTACACACTTTTATACGATCCCCCCTCAGTCTCCTACGCTCTAAAGAAAAAAGTGCTAGCTTGTCCAACCTCTCCGTACAACTCAGTCCCTTCAGTCCTGGCAACATCCTTGTAAATTTCTCCTGTACTCTTTCCAGTTTAATAACATCCTTCCTATAGCAAGATGACCAAAACTGAACACAGTACTCCAAGTGCAGCCTCACCAACGTCCTGTACAACTGCAACATAACTTCCCAACTTCTATACTCAATGCCCTGACTAATGAAGACCAGTGTGCCAAGAGCTGCCTTCACTGCCCTGTCTACCCGTGACTCCACTTTCAGAAATCCGTGCACCTGAACTCCAAGGTCCCTCTGTTCCACTACACTCCTTAAGGCCCTACCATTCACCATGAAACTCCTACCTTGATTTGACTTTCCAAAACGCAACACCTCACACTTATCTATATTAAACTCCATTTGCCATTTCTCAGCCCACTTCCCCAGCTGATCAAGATCCTGCTGCAATTTCTGAAAACCTTCCTCACTGTCCATGATACCACCTATTTTAGTGTCATCCACAAACTTACTAATTGTGCCTTGTACATTCTCATCCAAATCATTGATATAGACAACAAACAGCAATAGGCCAAGCACCAACCCCTGAGGCACACCACTGTTCACAGACCTCCAGTCCAAAAAATATCATTTCACTATTACTCTCTGCTTCCTACCATCAAGCCAATTGTGTATTGAATTTGCCATGTGATCCATGCAATCTAACCTTTCAGAGCAGCCAACCATGTCGAACCTTATCAAAGGCCTTACTGAAATCCACAGACTATGTCTACCTCCCTGCCCTCAACCACCTTTCTGGTCACTTCAAAGAACTCTAAAAAAATTTGTGAGGCAGGATCTCTCATGGACAAAACGATGCTGACTACTCCTAATCAAACCCTGGCTTTCCAAATGCATGTCTATCGTATCCCTCAGAATCTTCCCAAGTAACTTACCTACGACAGATGTTAGGCTTTTAGGTTATTGCTTTTCTCAGCCTTTGCAGACTAACTGTTCAGCTCACAGGGAAAGGTGCCTGGTTTGTTTCCGTTTATTCTGCCATTAAACTAGCTGAAATTAAACTTGTCACCAGAATTCAAAGAATCAAACAAACCTGAGTCACGTACACTGCAGAAACCCAACAAGATCACATTTAAGTAACCTACAATGTCCCGTTACGACACAGACTTCGGGAGGATAAATATATTACAGAATTAAAGCTGTCGATCTCTGGCTAAAGATATTTTTGTCAAAGAAATTTACAAGAAATTAAGCAATATCGCAAGGACCTTTCCATTTAAATTCAAACCTTCCTGTGCATTTCTTAATATAAAATGAACCTCCTGTGCTACAGCTTAGTGACTTGGGCTATAAATTTATTCCAGCATTTATTTCTTAATTTTGAAAAGTACAACATGTAAATCAAGATGTAGACGGTTGAAGGAAGACATTCTGTGCAGGGACAAATGGGATGCTTACAACATTAAAGGAAGACTCAAGATAGATGGGATGCTTTACAAACATTGAACTGGAAATGTTTGGTATAACCATTTGCAGTTGTTGGTGTAAGAGGCTTTGCAGCATAACATGGAGAAGGAGGGGTAGAAAAATCAGACTTTGGCACAAATGGACATCTAGCCACCAGTGTTTTGGGCCCCCAGAGGTTTTAAACATGAAACTGTGTTCTGGCATCTGAAACACTGGATGAAGAATTTGTGTGCGCCCTGAGGTTAGATTGTGCAATTGTGCTACTGTGATAGAAACATAGAAGATAGGAGCAGGAAGAGGCCATTCAGCCCTTCGAGCCTGCTTTGCCATTCATCACTATCATGGCTGATCATCCAATTCAATAGCCTAATCCTGCTTTCTCTCCATAACCTTTGATCCCATTCACCCCAAGTGCTATATCTAGCCACCTCTTGAATACATTCAATGTTTTGGCATCAACTACTTCCTGTAGTAATGAATTCCACAGGCTCCCCACTCTTTGGGTGAAGAAACGTCTCATCTCCGTTCTAAATCATCTACCCCTCAATCCTCATACTGCGACCTCTGGTTCTGGACACACCCACCATTGGGAACATTCTCCCTGTCCAGTCCTGTTCGAATTTTATAAGTCTCTATGAGATCCCCCCCTCATTCATCTGAACTCCAGCAAAAACAATCCTAACATAGTTAATCTCTCCTCATAGGTCAGTCCCACCATTCCTGGAATCAGCCTGGTAAACCTTTGGTAAACTCCCTTGAGAGCAAGAGCATCCTTCCTCCGAAAAGGAGGCCAAAATTGCACACAGTATTCTAGGTGTGGCCTCACCAAGGCCCTATACAACTGCAACAGCACATCCCTGCTCCTGTACTCGAAACCTCTTGCATTGAAGGCCAACATACCATTTGCCTTCTTTACACCTGCTACACTTCATGCTTAGTTTCAGCGACACAAAGACAGCCATATT